CACTCTGCAGTTGCCCTTCTGTGGTCATCACCAAGTTGACCATTATATCTGTGAGATCCCTGTGCTCATCAAGTTGGCCTGCGTGGACACCACTTTCAATGAGGCTGAGCTTTTTGTGGCTAGTATCCTCTTCCTTATAGTGCCTGTCTCATTCATCCTGGTTTCCTATGGCTACATTGTCCAAGCAGTTTTAAGAATCAAGTCAGCTTCTGGCCGACAGAAAGCATTTGGAACCTGCTCCTCCCACATTATGGTTGTTTTTATCTTCTATGGTACCATCATCTTCATATATCTGCAGCCAGCCAAGAGCAGATCTAAGGATCAGGGAAAATTTGTTTCCCTCTTCTACACTGTCATCACCCCCATGCTTAACCCTCTTATTTATACTCTGAGAAATAAAGAGGTTAAAGGGGCTCTGAAAACAGTTCTAAGGAAGATTCTGAAAATGAGTTTTCTATGATTATCAACACATTCTTAAAAGTGATATTGTGATAAATAATTTTTTAAAAGAACTGATTTGGACTATTTTCTCTCAATTTCTTTGGGGTAATTCCTATACTTCATTTAACATTCTTTAAAATACTATGAATATATATTTCTAGTTTTGACTTTGCCAATACCTAATAGTCACAAAAAACAAAATATTGAATCCATCTATGCTTTAGTGTTTTCTCTGAAGAATATGTTATTTAAGAGGTATATGTAAGATTCTTTAATAATTATAATCTTTACAAGACTAAAAAGAACATGAAAATATTCAAGAAATTCTTAAAATAATTCAGATTCACTTTTTTTTTTTTAACCAAAATACATTCAATCTCAGCCTTCCTGAATCTCTTGATGTATATGTTGCTTATTTCTTACCAAGATTCTAAGTAGGAAGTGGCTGGGATGTATACATCTTGGGAAAATTGTGATGAAGCAAAATGCTCCACCAACTTAGATATTGCAGAGATGTGTGGAGGTGCAAAAATACATGAAGACAAAAATACAAGGATAACATTTGCACATTAAATACGGTGGTTAAAACACTTGGAAAGAGCTTGGGTCTCTGTGTAGTGGAACCAGCGAACCAATCAAAACTGCTTAACATTAAGCTCTATTTCCTAAGAAAAATCACCACTGGAGAATTTTCTGTGGCCTAACAAACATTTACAATTAATAACATTTACTTTTGAAACCATAACCATGCATTTCTTTACACAGAAATGCATATATTGTACTTTTAAAATTCTAATTTTGATTACAATATAAAAAGCAAAACATACCATTTTAACTATTTCTGCATGTATTATTTAGTCCCATTAATACCATTCTTCAAATTGTACAACAATTATCACTCTCATTTTCAAAATTATTTGACCACCATTAAGATAAACTTACTGCCCATGGGCTTCTCATTTAAACTTTCAAGTTGTAGCTGTCATTTTGATCTGACATAGATAATTCTTTAAAGGACCACAATGCTTGGAACATATATAATTTAGTACTTAAGTAAAACTATTGTTTGGTTCAAAGAAGACTTCATGGGATAGTTTTGGTTTAACATTTAAAGTTTAAGATTATCTTAGAGGAATATTTTTTACTTTATCCAGCCTCACTGGCATCAGGTAGTCTGGATTCCATTAAGAATTTGAGATTCATTTCCACATTTTTCCCCTTTTGATTAAGATTCTTCTATAGAATCTTTGATCAAACTTTTCAGTAATGGTGGTGGGGCACCGTACAGACCATATTTCTCTTGCTATAGAGGAAAATTGTCTGTGGAGGTAATCAGGCATAGATACCGTCCCCTCCTCTAATTCCTAAATATCCTTCCTTTGCTATTAGGTGAATGGAGACCAATTGTTGTATCATGAATATCCATAAAAGCATTCTTTTTTAATTTTATGATTTTTCTTCCAGATAAAATATGAATCAAACTGCTTTGTTTGAGCTTTGTTTTCCATGGTTTCATCCTAAATGGTCTTTTTATATATCATATTGTGGTTCACATCCATCCAATAGTACCATGGCAGAAAAGTACTGGCAGTGTGTCTGTTTCTGTAAAGACTGCAGCCAAGAAATTAATATGGAACAATTCTACATTGTAACACTTGGGATTTCCAGAAGCTCATAATTGACTTTATGACATAATACAGTAAAAAAAAAAAAATAATAATTTTCTGAAAATAAGGAGCTTTTGCATCTTGATCTGGAAATTTTGTGTAATTACATAGTATTATGTATTTTATTTTATTGCATTATATCAGATGTTAGATTGTATAGTTTGTTGTAAACAATGTTTTGTGTTCAAGTTACACACAAATAAAAATATATTCAGTGAATTGAAGAAGAATATTGTGGGAAACTCTTGTAGGTCTGTATCAGTAATCATTTAAAATGAAAATAAAGAAGTCATGGAATGAACCACCACTTATAACCAATCAGACAGAAAGGTATAATTAGGAAGATAATGCACTGCCTCTCTTCTATCCTTTCAGTATTGGAAATATTAACCTCCCAATCATTTATTAATTTATTTATGATAATTTTCATGGCAAATACTCAATGGCCAGTTCTTTGGAAGTTGTTAACTATAGTAACAAATCAAGGAAGAAGTAGCATGTGCCCACGTGGGATTTATTACCACTATTAATAATGGCCACCACTCTTCTTTCAGTTTGTCATAGTTTGGTGACTTACATGTTGCTATGAGGCAGGAGGTTATGCCATGGGTATTTCAAATAACAACAGGGTCACACTTGGGTAGAAGAGCAGGGCCATCCACTTCAGAAAACAATCTGGCCACTGAAAACCTTACAAATAGCAGTGAAACACAGTCTGATGTATTAGTGGAAAACTTTATGCATAGCTATGAAATATTTTCTGTTACAGAGCCAGAAGATGAGTCCCTCAGGTTGAAAGGAACTCAAAATATAACTAAGGAAAGGCTGCCTCTGTAAAGTAGAGTCAATCTTAATAACTCAGATGGAGTAAAGCTTTCAGGACCTTCATTTGCTGATCATGCATGACTCAAAATGGAGTGAAACAGTTGCGAATATCCATTAATAATCAGAACATGGGGTGTATAAAGTATGAATCTAGGTAAATTGGAAGTAGTCAAAAATGAAATGGGATGCATAAATATTAATGTCCTTGGCATTAGTGGCTTGAAATGTACTGGTATTGGTTATTGTGAATCAGACAAACATGCAGTATATTATACCAGGAATGACATGTTGAAGAGGAATGAATTTGAATTCATCCTCAAAAAGAACATTTTAGGATCTTTCTTGAAGTACAATTCTGTCAGTGATAGGATAATATCCATACACCTACAAGGAAGACCAGTTAATACTACTATTATTCAAATTTACACAACAACCACTATAGCCAAGATGAAGAAATTAAAGATTTTTTTTTACCAACTTCTGCAGTCTCAAATTGACCAAACATGCAATCAAGATGTACTAATAATTATTCCAAATAATTTTGGAATGCAATAGTTGGAAATGAGTAACAACCATCTGTAGCTGGAAAATACGGCTTTGGTTATAGAAATCATGGCAGAGATCTTGCATGATAGAATTTTGCAAGACAAACTATGTATTCATCGCAAATATCTTTTTCAGCAACATAAATAGTGTCTATACACCTGGACATTGCCAGATGGAATACACAGAAATCAGATTGACTACATGTGGGGAAAAAGGTGATGGAGAAGCTCAATATCTTCAGCCAAAACAAGGTCCGGAGCTGGCTGTGGAAGAAACCATCAACTGCTCATATGCAAGTTCAAGTTGTAGCTGAAGAAAATTAAAATAAGTCCACAAAAGCCAAAATACAACCATCTGAATTTAGAGACCATCTGAAGAATAGACTTGACACATTGAACACCAATGACTGAAAACCAGATGAGTTGTGGGATGACATCAAGAACAACCTACGTGACAATTCACTATAGCAAAGAGATGGAAATGCCCATCAGTGGATGAATGGATAACCAAACTATGGTACATTTAGACAGTGGAATACTATGTTACATTAAAGAACAATGAAGGATATGTGAATTATCTCACAATATGGATGAGCCTGTAGGGCATTATGCTGAGTGAAATAAGTCAATCACAGAAGGACAAATACTGTATGAGCCCATTACTGTGAAAAGACAAAGAAGGGTTTGTTTAAGAAAAGGAACTCACTTTGTAGGTTAGCAGGGTGGGGAGGAATGGGGAGGGATTAATTTTGAGCTAGTTGGGGGCCACACACTGACATGGGTAAGGGGAGGCATGTATAGAAAGAGTTTGTGACCACCATGATAACATGGGAGAACACCGAATTATGCACATAAGAGATAGATGACAGATGCTAATACCAACCAGTATATCCACAATATCTACAATACTGCATTACCATTAACACCAAACACAGGCTACAGATAAACACATAAACATCTGAGAAGATCAGATGAGGGTCAGTGAACAGGAGTATACTCTAGACCAAGGATAAATTCAAGAGAGGCTAATCTTGCACACATACCAGTGATACAAAATACCTTCAATCCTTACAGAGACAACAGATGATAGACATAGAGTAATCCCTCACAGACACCCAGACACTGTGGGAGAGAGATCCAAGGTATCTATTGACTCTGGACCATACTACTGGGAGACACAGGACTCAATTGACACAAAAAATACATAAAAGCCTTGTTCTTCATCCTACATTGGTAAGTAGCAACTGAGGTCTTAAAAGCTTTCAAGTGACCATCTAAGATGCACCTAATGGTCTGTTGTCGGAAGTGAAGAAGAGTGCAAAATAAAAAAAAAATCAAGAGCATTTGGCAGCAATCAGCCCTAGCACATGATGGCCCTCAAGACTAGAAGAACTAGATGGTGCCTGGCTACCAATGCCAACCATTCAGGAAAGGATCAAATCTGGAGATCCTGGATAGAGTGGGAATAAATACGTTGAACAAAATAAAAAAAACCTCAGTAATGACCAGAATTACTGGTTGGATGGAGTCTGGTGAGACCCTCAATACCATGGCTCTGGGAAACATTGTGGGCCTGGAATAAAACTCACTCTTTGAGGCTGGATCTCAGCCCAATAGTAAACAAGATGTACATGCAGACCACTCAATCCAGGGTGAAGCACCCACATATTCTATGGAAATGCATCCCTTGGAACAATCCACCATGGGGCACCAGAGGAACAACATTAGCATGGAGGAAATGTAGGACACACAGGGGTGCATAGCTATGAGGGGCACAGGGGAGGAGGGTTACTGGGCAGAGAGGGAAGGAGACTGGGTTAGGGTTGGGGATGTTAAATGGAAGTGAAACTGAATGTACACGAAAAATTGAATGTAAAATAAGCTGCTCTGTAAACTTGCACCTAAAACAAAAACAAGCAAACAAACAAAAAAAGAACATCATAGGAGAAGAAAGCAAATGGCTATTTAAAAGATAGGAAAGG